GATTTTGATCGCAAGGTCCCCCTCCCCACCGGATACGCTGCAGAGACCTATCCAAGTCCTCGCCGTACACATGGCCATACACATCTCGGTTTGATGCGATTTCACTGTACATCAACTGCCGCACTAAACCGTAGTTGTCTTCACCCATTTGAAACACATCCGCCACAACCCGAAATCCGCAGTTACCATCTGCAATGACATCATTCCACCCGTCCAAGAATGGCATCATGATATTAGGGATCCTGTCCTTATATGGAAAATGTTCAATGTCCATTCTCCCTGTTACACACATCAATAAACACAATAAACAAGTCAACAGTAAACTAATCAAACAGTCAACAAAAGAAATTGAAGTCGAATGTCTTACCGGTGCCGGGCATATTCACCGACGACGATGATTGGCTGCCACTTGATGAGGATGTACGACCACGGCCACGGCCACGGCCACGACCGCGAATGTACTCAAACGCACTCTTGTTCCGCCGTGGTTGTCGACCCCTAGGTCGCTCGACCCCTTCCGGTTCCTCGGTATCCAAACACGATGTATTGAACATGTCATGAAGTATGTGTGTAGCACTACGAATGATCGAAGGGTGGCTGGAGGACACTTGGTCAAACATCAACTGAAACTGCTCCAACTCCTCCTGTTCACGGTGAACCGTATGCGGAACAGCATGCTCTCCGATAACGAGAGTCCGCCAGAATGGATGAACCTGATCGACATGTAACGACGCCCTGTCTTGCGTAATTACGCGGTGAATGGTGCATGCACAAGGTAATCCATGAGTCACTGATATAGCACATCCGCACCGAATAGCCACTTCATCGCCCAACTCCCTCATCCTGGTATACTCGCTCAGAATCAACCCCAAACAGTGGTGTGACACACGACCGTGGAGAATCTTAAATATGAAATGGCCATACAACATGCCATGTCGTCGTCTGGAGTCCTCGAGATAGTTATTGATGCCGTTCCTCTGAGTATCAATAGCCTTGTTTATTCTCTCGAACAGTGTATCCAGAGCAGCCGTGGAAGAATTAATCCAGTCCTTCAAAGCTCTATGAGCGCTCTCGACTCTGCATGTCGTAGTGTTCCCAAAATGAAGAACTTGGTTCGTCCAATATTTGACAAACTTTTCCCTCTGAGGTACCCACTGGTGCATCACATAGTCTACGATTGGCGGGCACCACTTGTACGCATCCTTGAAGTTTTCCAAGGCTCGATCGTACTCTGCCTCTGTGGTAGCTTGCATGATCTTCCGCCACTTACCATTTACCAATGTCTCTGCTGTTACTAAATTCTTGTTGAAAAGATTGTAGGCTTTGACTTTCACGCAGTTGTTGATGTGCCATGTGCACAGTAAATGGCTCGACTCCGGAAACAGCTCCGCTATAGGGGCAAAAAGACCTCCCTCACAATCACTTACGATGGCCGATGGCTGTACATTTGGGCCGATGTAGTTTCTCAACTTTTCCAACACCCAACGGTAACTCGCAGCCGTCTCATCCTTCATGACTGCATAACCAATCAGAAAGTTCTGGTTCGTTGGAGCCATCCCAACCATCTCAACCAGTGGGAACTTGTACTTGTTTGTCTTGTACGTTGAATCGATCAAAATCACAGATGGCCAAGACGAAATCATATCAGCACAATCAGGATGGACAAGGAACAAATGAGTTACCTCCGATGTGTCTTCGTCAGATTCAAACCAGTAAAGGTAACCACGTGCTTGTGCCTGGTGCAGAAGCTGCTGTATAGGGTTCCTTCCCTCTGACCGTTCAAACCTCAATTTCTGTCTGACGTTGTAGATGTGTCTTCGGTTTGGCTGGTCTTCGGGGAATTTCTCTAACACAGACGCTAATATTTTAGCGGGCTTCACTTGAGCATCACTCATTTCTTTTACAACTAGTTTCGCAGCTGGACTTAGGCCGCTTAACTGCCGATGCCCCACTTTGTATGCTATCAGCTCATGGTTGTGATATCCCCATTTGCCGTAACCCTTCACTTCCCAACCGTCACGCCTTTGATGTTGTCGAACCTTAACTCGGAACTGACACCCACAACCTTTCCGCTTTGAGTCAAACCGAATCGCTTTACTGAAATCTCGTTCTTCTCTTTTGCGATAACGGTCGCATCTCAAAATGCGATCCATTCTACCATCCCGTTGAGATTTATGAGTTGCTACTACTAAACAAAAGCCTGATCTAATTGCAACCTGTTTTGCCCAATCAATCGCTTGTTGAGCATCTTCGAACAGGCCATCATGTACAAAAATCCCACCGTAATCATTTCCGTCTCCACCATAATCCTGTAACAATAACATATAACGTATAAATATAATTACATTAAAATTTCTAAATATCATTTTTATATTTAACGCATAATACATTTAAAAAACAAAATAATAACACACATTTCATTTCAAATTTATCAAACATAAATAAACAAACAAATTAAAAAATAAAAAAAATAAAAAAAAAAAAAAAAAAACAAACAAAAATAAAAACAAACAAACAAATAAAAAATAAAACAAAAACAAAACCAAAAAAAAAAAAAAAAAAAAAGGGGATTAAATTAAAAAATAAAAAAAAAAAAAAAAATATATTCCCCTAGTGGCGCCTGGCCAGGACGCCGGAGCCACGGCCGGAGCGCCTGGTCAGGACGCCGCCGCCATGGTGGCGGCGTCCTGGCCAGGCGCCCTGGCCGTGGCTCCGGCGTCCTGGCCACGCGCCACTACCATGGTCGAGGCTTCTCCACCAGGCGCCGTTACCACGGTGGCGGCGTCCTGGCTAGGCGCCACAACCACGGCATGGCCTTTTGGCTAGGCGCCAGCCACCATTTCGTCCTTACGATGCGTTACGAACCTCGTTTTCCGATGACGACGGCGATTCTCCGGTGATCCTCGGCGATCCGGTGCTGCTCCACATTTTTTTAGTGCGAAAAATTTATCTTCGGTTAAAATTATAAAAAGGGCAAATTTGTCAAAAAATTATAAAATGTGGGCTTTATGTAGAGATTTGCGGGCGATGAATAACAAGTCCCCTTTTTTTTCTCATGTCATGTGCCTTGTGGACCAACGTATGATAAAGAAATTACTAGTACTAATGTTAAAATTTGAAGATGGGAAAAGAATGTAAAAGAGGTGTGCACTAAAAGATACACTTTTCTTTAATACTTTCAATTTTCCGTTCTTTTTCATCTTTTAGGCCCCATTCCAGCGGCTTATTGTCTGGATGCCTTGTTATATCAAGTGTCACATTCATATCCATTTTAATCCGATTAATATATTAACTGTTATATTTGATTTTAGATTATAGAGATTGATTTACATTATCCCTTTAAACTGTTTTATTTGATTTTGGATTACAGAGATTGATTTACATTATCCCTTTAATTATGTTATTACCAAATTAATAGTCACATGCATGTACAACTTTAGGATGTGTTTTGACTAAATTTGCTTATGATTGATCGAACCATTGAAACAAATTTTTATACTCCTACTAAAATTGAGTAGCGGAGAGTGTATGAAATGAACAAGATCATTAAAGAGCAATATTGTGTCATATTACGGTCCAAGTGACTATTTGAAGAAGTAGTTGAAGAAGTAGAAGAATGCTACGGGGTTCCTATGTGATTCCGGCATGCCCTATAGAGTATAAGAAAAGTAGATTTGTCTCTTTACATACTATGATAGCTAGAAATTGTATTGTCACATTCATAAGATGAATATGGCGGAGATGCATATGCTACAATGATGTGTGGGACAACTTATATATGATACTAGCTTAGAAACATTGGAGATAGATGCATACTAGCTTAATTAGAAATGATCAATTGAAATAATAAGTTAAGTAGGAAGGTGGCAATTAGCCAGTAATACATATTGAGTATAAGACAAGGTAGAATCGCTTAAAATTATTTGATCATGTTAGACAACTTGGATGAAAAGTGTTGAGAGCGATACGAATTTAAGCATATGTGTCAAGTTTAACTGTGTCAATTATTTTGAAGTGGATGGAGTTTACGTCATTTTCTTTCTACTTACCTCACTTAAATTTTATTCTTTTCTCATTATTTTTTCCCACCTTTTTCATTTATTCTCTTTTCATTTAATTACTTCTTCAAATTAATTTTCTTAGCACTACCTTTTCCACTCCTTATCTATATGTTTTCTCCCATCTATTTTGTCGTATTTTCACATTTGCACTCTATTTTGTTTACTTTCTTTATCGACTTTGCATTGCTTGCTCCAATGCTTACGGCCGGTCTCGAATGATGGTTCATGATAGCCCATCCAAGGTTTTTGTTGTTGTTGTTGTTGGTGTTGTTGTCGTCGTCGTCATTGTCGTTGTCGTTGTCTTTGTTGTAGAAGAAGAATAATACTAAAAATGATATATTATGGACTTAGCATACACTTACCAATCACAAGTGATGCCTTGAGGTTGAGGCAACAGTTCGTTCGTTATATCTCTGGAAGACTGGAAGTCAAGCTAAATACTCACGTCAACGCTCAATAATTTCCAAATTTCTACTTTCTTAACTGTATCTTTGCATCATTGACTTAGGATCATCCCAACCTCCAAGTCTTCGTGTTTTCTTTTGACAATTTGTTTGAAATATATAATTCATGTTCACACATCTAGACTGTAGAGTAATAAAAAATTGACTCAATCCCATTGCAACCTGATAATAGTTCATTAATAGTTTTTTTTTTATTCTTAGTTACTCAAACCTCCAAAAGATCTTAAGGTAATATAATGTATAATTGGGTCTTAATCTTGATCATGCGCTTTTGATTATACAAGTAATTGCTCTTTGTTGAGAAAATTCAAGTATAGCTTGAATCGTAGATTAAATTTAAATCAAGCATAGGATAAGAGTGGCCAAATTTCCTTGAGAATTATATTTCTTGGTTGCACTATAATTACAAAATCTACAACCATAGTCTACAAGATGCTACTATTAATAGGTGATCCAAAAATGAAAGATGAAATATTTAGCAGATATAATTTCTAGATAATCCTAGATCGTTTCTGTGTTCAGAAATAATCCCCTGCTTCATCTTTCTAATAAAGTCCTCACACCTTTTGTTCAATTCCTCTGCACCCTCGTCGTCTTCATCCTCATCATCGACTATATCGTTGTGATCATCATAAACATCATCATTTTGCTGATGTACATGAGCAACTTCACATTCTGAAACCACCACTTTCTGATGCTGAACCTGAAGTACTTCAGTTATAACAGTCTCTTCAACTGTCAAGAATCGCGCTGTTTTTACATCAGTACTAACATTCTGTTCTGAACTTACAGCAGAAAACTCTTCTTGCTGTTTTCTCTGATCACCTAGTACAACTGATCTTGGCAAACTCTGAGCTGCATTACTAGTACTACTGCTGTAATCAGAGTTGCTGTCCTGAGACGGTGACATCAAAAGCGAAGACGAGCTTTTAACAAGGATTACTAAAATCCCATTACAGATAAGGAACATATGGTTCCTGTCAATGTTGAATTTCAGAATAGAAGTAAGATATACACTACTGTAGGATTTCATCAAGTGTAAGATTAGTAAAACTAATGAAGATGAGAACAAGAAAAGAGAGTAAAGATATGCAGATTGCATTTTCTTCATTGATTTAATTATATTGAATTGTACTGATTGCTCCATTTTTTGAGTAAATTTCTGGGTTTTGAATGATTGATCAAAATCTTAATATACCAAAGTTTTTTAAAAAATGAAAACTTTTGTATAAGAGAGAAAATATGTGAATAGATAATATGAGATGAGATGAGATGAGATGGTTTGAGTGTTCTGATATTGAAGTGGTATTTATATAGTGATATAATATAAAGTTTTTGAGATTGCAATTATGAAATTAAAGGTGGGGTTAAATTAAAATTGATGTTTTTGGCAGAATTTGTGTGGGATTTTGAGAACAGGAGAAGAAAGGTGGAAGTTTCAAAGGAGACCAAAAAATTGAAGTCGTCTAATTTTTTATAAAAATGTTTTTGGTTTTTGGTGGGACAAAAAAAGATTTCTTAACCAATTTATTACCTACCTTTTGCCCCGTGGCATACTTCTTCAATGATGAATTACTTAATATTTTCTTTCTTTCTTCTTTCGTTGCTAATGAAGACATAATGTGATTTAATAAGCAATACTAATTAATCATTAACAGCCCCGCCGTATACAAATTAATTGTTGTCCGTCAATTGTGAATTTTGTTCTAAAGTCCTAATTAAGGATCTTATGATGTGACAGTCATCGACAATAGCTCTGTCAATTCAAGTTGATGATTTGGATTCAGGTCAGGCTGAAACGGGTTCATTTAGCTGTCAGATCCGTTTAAGTTATTAATTATTTTTTGTACAATTTTAATTTCTATTTATGGTCATAATCTAGTCGGCTTATGATAGGTTGTCGTACGCCTGTTAAAAATAAATTCCTAACAAAACCAACTTACAATATAGGAAAATTTGCATCAAAGGATTTTTTTAAATGCACTTGTTTGCAAGGAAGGACCTTTTAAATCTAAAGTGACATAGAAGGACCTTTTAAACGTTTTGGGTGGTGGCTGGGGACTTGACGTCGGAAAGGAATTGACCACAAAAGTCCGGCGTTGACCACCACGTGAGTGGCACGTGACTACTTAAACCTTTTTTTTTTTTCCCACGTTTCCTTCCCTTTCCCCCTAACCCTATTATTTTCCCCCAAATATTTTTCTCTCTCCTCTCCTAAATATTTGCCCCCATTTATAAATTTTAAAAATATTTTAAATATTTTTCTCTCTCGTTTTAAAAATATTTGCCCCCATTTATAAATTTTAAGTAAGAAAAAAAAAGCTTAAAGTTATAAATGAGGGAAATTAAAATATGCAAGGGAAATTCTCAATCGTACTCATCAGTTCTTTTTTTTTTTTTTTTTTTTTCCTTCCTCCTCCTCCTCAATGGTAAACACTAAAATATCAAATTATCTTTGGTAATCTATAATTTATAAAACTAATTCAGTGGTAAAATTAGTTAAGCATTTTAAGGAAATATTAACCATGGTTAGTGTTTTAAAAGAGCAAGCCCTAGTTTATAACCTTGATAAACAAATTATGTTTATCAAATGGCATTTTCGTAAATAAGTTGCATTGAAAATTGTGATTTTTGATTAAAAAAATATATTTATACTGTATGTGGGCCACTATGACAAGTTGGACAGATTTTTGGAGTAACAACGTTAACTCACTGTTTGCTACTATTCATCTTCTTCTTCCTCCCACCTTCTTCTTCATGTTCATCTTCTTCCTCTTGTTCATATTTTTTCTTCCCACCCACCTTAATCTTCTTCCTCCAATCTCTACTTACTTTCACCTCCTCTTCCAAGTCCGTTTGACACCATTTTCACCAGCTTTGCCGGCGAAATGAAACGAAAACCCTATTAACAAAAAGAGAAATTAATGGCATGGTTAACCCGGCCTAAAGGGTAGCTGAGTTTTCCTCCATCCATTAAATTCGACTTCATACCCACATAACAAAGTGAAAATAACGAACATGGTTAACCCTAGAGGGTAGGTAAGCTTTTCTTCCTCCATAGATGTCACTTGTTCCGGTCATAGTGAGAAGGGGTATTTTCCACCATTGAAATTGAAGGTTGAAGGAGGAGAGAGAAAACAACAAAAGGTTGAAGGAGGAGAGAGAAAATCAGAAAATACCAATAGGTTGAAGGAGGAGAGAGAAAACAACAGTTAACCAAAAGTTAGATGTAATTTACATATACACCCTTTGATAAACAATTTTTGTTTATCAAGGTTATAACCTTGTATTTTCTCGTTTTAAAAGGAGAGAAAAGAGAAATGCCTAAAATACCTCTATTAAAAAAAAAAAAAAAAACCCACCACCCACTTCTTCCCCCTCCCCCAACCCAGCCTAGCCCCTGCCTACTCACGACCCCGGCGTCGACCTCACCGGTCATTTCCTCTCTCTCTTTCACGGTGCTGGCGTCTCTATCACCACCTTGACCACCACCCTTCCAACCCAGCCAAAACCATAACCCAATTCCCCTGCTCCCGGCCGAACCCTAACAAACCCATCAATCGAAACCGATGTAAAAACCCTAACAATACTCGGAACTTTTATATCCATTAAAGAGAGATTTGAGCTCAACAAAGTTGGAATCTGATTTTATGTGCCAGATTCGAAGGTAGTCAGAGGAAGTAGCGAGATAATCGGGTTTGGAGCAATCGAGTTCAACGACGATGCGATTTTGGGAGTGTTCAAGGAGGGAGGTGATTGCGAGATGGTTTTGGGTTGTGGGTTTTAGGTTAGCTGGTTTTATTCGGCGGGGAATTGGTCGAAAAATGGAGTGGAAAAGGAGGGGAATGGGAAGGGGAAGGTGGCCAGGGGGAAGGGGATTGGGTGGTTGGGTCGCGCGACAGGGGGAGGGGATTGGGGTTGGGATCAGCGGACGAAACCGACGAGGTCTCTTTTAAGGGGTTTCGTGGGAGAGGGAGGGGGATCGGTGGTTCATGGGATCGGAGGGGGAGACGTGACAGGGGGACAGGGGGAGGAAAGTCGGCGCCGGCGTTAGAGGAGGGTGGTTTGGGCACGGCCGGCTCAACGGCGGGGGGCAGGGTGGTTGGGGCTGGCAGAGTGGCTAGGGCTGTTGGGATGATTTTTTTTTTTAAAAAAAATATTTCAAAATAATTTAATTATTAAAAAAATACAAAAAAACTAACCATGGTTAATAAATGATTAAATTGATTAATTAATGTCACCATTGAATTGACAACGGTAATACATGAGTACCAAAGATAATTGAAAGTTTTGCTGTTTACCAAAGAGAAAATTAAAAAACTTGTGAGCACCATTGAGAATTTTCCTGTACAAATATTTTTAGGGATATAAACGTCCACACTATTTATAAAAATTCTCTCATACTTTTTAAAAGGTAGGGATAGGAATAAATGTACTCTGTATAAAGATTCTCGTCATATTGTTAGAATAATTGAATTAATAAGAATTTTGTCTTATGGAGTTTTATAGTATGCCTGTGGAATAATGAATCGGATGAATGACAACCAAGTCTCTGAAAAGATTTGGTACTCTGTAAATGTGGTAATCGTGTCTCTAACCTCATCAAGGGTCCAAGAATGTAAGATTATAAGGATCACATTTATAACTTTTTCCACTAATTATGGAGTAGAAAGCTAAACTTTTCAAAGTTTGATTTTCTTAATAATAAATCTTTATCAACGAACTTTATGCTGTCTATACAGTGATATTGTCTAGTGCATGTACATAAATCTTTATTGGGCAGACAATTGTATTTGTATATTTCATATATGTATTGTATGTTTACCTAAATGACTCGGTCAATACGCAATTGGCCAGCGGAGTAAATACCAAGTCAATGTTAAATCTAGTCCATAGGTTCAATTAACATTTCTTAGTACAATTTGAGATGTCAAAAACTAACATGACTAATCTGATTAGAAATCGATCGGTAAAATCACAAATAATTTAGATTTCGACTTATATAGAAACAATAATTTAGCATAATTCAAATGTAAAATACACTCAATCTAACCCGTTCTCATTGAACCCGACCAAACACCCGAATGAACACCTGTGTACAATATACGATATTTGAAATTTTGTGTTGTTCACATACATTTTCATTCAATTATTGTATACTTCATCCATCTTTAAAAGAGTGCCTTATTTATCCAAAATGGATGTACCTAGATTTACTTACACCCTGTTATAATACTCCGTACATTTTTCCACTTTGCACCCTAGGATATACTCTATATGGACACTTTACTTAATAGGCTTGTCCGTGTCAGACATAATATCAAAAACCGACAAACATTGGACACTTGACAATACATCTTGGCCACCAGAAAAAACATGCCCGATTTTTATATATATTTTTAGACACTTGGACACGAATTGTATCCTACATACTGTGATACAGCTTATTTTGCTTTTTAACATGGACATCTCATATTTTCAAACTTTTTTTTTGGAAGACTAAAGTGGAGGAGAAAGAATGTGAGCATTAATAATAACTTGGATGTTTTGAGTGATGATTTTAGAAATTAAAAATGAAGGTGAACGAATGCATGGTAAACATAGCGTTGTTGAGTTTGCAAAGTGAGGGGAGCGGAGGAGAAATAGTATTGGAACATTTATACTTCCTCCGTTAACGATTATGTGCAACATTTGCCATTTTGAGAAGCTACTATTATGTACAACAATTTTTTTTTCTTTCCACTTTTAGTAACTTTTTGCCAACAAAATAACCATATTACCCTTACTTAAACAACTTAGACACCTAATTAAATCACTAACATGATTTCACTCTTTACCTAATGAATTTGATTATTGTAATCATTTTCACCAAAAAATCATTCACCTTCATCAAAATCATTCATCTCCCTAACCCTTCTTCAATTGAAATCTCCAAAATTAAAACCCTAACCCTACATGTTGGTTCATCTTCCCCCTTCTCTCTCCTCTTGCGATTTGGGTTTGGGTTCGTCGGCTTCGTCTGGTTCGTGGGTTTGGGTTCGTCTTGTTCGTGGGTTTGGGTTTGTGGATTTGGATTCGTCTGGTTGTGGGGTGGTTTTAGGGGTTTCAGATCTGATTTGTGGGGGTGGCGTGAGTTTCGTGGGGATG